TTCCTACTAAAATATGTGACTTTCACATATTATGAAAACTCAAATCACTGAATCATCTTTTAAAATCTTTTTTTTTTTTTTCAGTTAAGCAGGTTACTCTGGAATGAATTCCAAGGAGGACAAAATGAACGACCTAGACAGAGAGCCTTATAATTTCCCCATAAAATCTGTTTCACAAAACCAAACTTTTTCAACTGAAAAGTTTATGTGCCCAATGCTTTGTTAATTCCTATAACAAAGTATGATTATTGTGTGTGTGAGCACTAAAGGAGTTTATGGTCTAAAATAAACACTACAGATAAAAGAACTTCCTTTAGCATTTCTTATATGTAGGTCTGCTGACAAGTGCAAAAGTTCCAAGATCCAAGAAGCACATGATTTAAGTCAATAAAATATCTTTCCTGCTTGTAGGTCAGCTTAACTGCTTGCTGGCCAAATGTTCTGGCTCTCAGGGCAGACAGATCTGGGTCTGAATGCTGACTTAATTACTAACTAGCTGTGGACAAATCCTTTACCTCTGTGCACCTCTCTTTCCTTGTCTGTTAAAAAAAAAAAAATGCCAGACTCATAAGATCATTGTGAGAATACAATGTAATAAAATACGCAAAGGGCTGATCAACATATCTGTATATATTTAGACTTCAGAAACATTAGCCATCATCATGACCATCATTATTACTGTTGAAGAGGTCCTGTAAGACAGACACCTCATATTGTGGGGTGTATGTGTGTGTGACAGAGTGCAACATGGAGAGAAAGAGCTAGAGGAAACAAAAAAGGATCAATATACAGAGCTTATTATAATGAGCAGAATAACCGCCTTATGAGGAAGAAAAGAAGAGCCTCAACATCTTGTTTGAAAACAGTAACAACAGATCAATAGCAAGAAAAAGGGTCATTAAAAGTCATCAAAAAGTATTCTGAAAATGATAGGTCCACTGTCATTGTAGGGAAGGCGATGCCCTGAGACAGGAAATGTGAATCTAACTGAATGAACTGGAATGATGGGAGTACAGGCCAATTCTGAAATACGACTTTCCTGGTTTATCAAGACTGGGTTATTTTGCTCATTTGTTTTGGCATTAGGGGTTAATTATATCATCCTTTATATATGAACTACTTTAATGAGGTGGTAAGCAGTTGCCAGAATTCACACCCATAAGACTCCCCAAACTCAAATACCAACTAATACTACATATGACGGGGCTTCAAAAAGTTCATAGAAAATTCCATTTTTCCGTGAACTTCTCCCTCGTATATCTACTGCTCTTTTTGGCATATCTTTGCCAGAATGATTTATTATATTAGTTTTATTATATATACTCATATATGGTACTAGAACTCAGATGATACACACTAAATCACAGGATGTGAGCTTACAGAAATTATTTTGAAACAATAATTGATAGAAAGCAGAATGAACAAAATCTTTTAAGTACCCAGGAACTAAGAAGTAGTATAGTGTCAGGCAAGTTACTGTTAGAATTTTAACCTCAGATTCATCGTCAATGAAAAATTCCTCAGAACACATCAAACGAAATCAAACCCACTGTCATCACGCCAATTCTGACTGGACAACACTTAACAACAACAATCTCACCCTTAGTCCTCTTACTGGTTTATCACATCAGATCATATCCTGGGGGATCATCACAGAACTGCCAAACCGCTGAGAATCATAGTCTAGCCAAGCTGACACATATTCAAGCCATGACATAGGATAAAAACACTATATTTAGCTTTTAAACTAAATACTCCTTAAAGACAGTGAAGAAAAGAATCATTATCCTATCTCCCTGGAGAAAAGAAGTTGCTGGTTGTGTTTTCTAACAGCTTTCAAAATTTCTCCCTCTTATGTGTTATTCTAGTAAATCAAAATAATTTTGTTTTTAGAGGTCACACACTATTTAAATCTTGACCAACATGCTGCTTAGTTGACATATGTTAAAATATTAATTAAAAATGATTTCCCTTTTATCTATAAACTATTGTTTTATATCAGAAAGGAAGTGTCTGTACAATATAACTCGAACTCTGCAACCGAATCATTTTCCATGAACTTAAATTCACCAACAGTAGATTATCTTACACCAGTCAGCTCAAATCATACTGGTCTGAGAACCAGTATCCACCAAATAGATTCCTACTCATGGCAACTCTGTGTGTCAGAGCAGAAGTGCACTCCACAGGGCTTTCAGTGGCTCTGATCATTTGAAAGATCACCAGGACTTTCTTCCAAGGTACCTCTGAGTGGACTCAAACATTTTGGTTAGAAGCTAAGAATTTAAGTGAGAATATAGCCCAAAAATTGTAGCTAGTCATTCTTCAAAGAGACAAAGAAATAAACTGTTCAGGGCTAAGTTCTTCCAGTCAGGACATTCTCTCCTCAGCAGTGCCCATAGACAGTTCTCTCTATGGGCAATGTTACAAAGCTCTTTAAGGATGCTGATAAATGCCCATAGGCCTGATGGTAGGCAGGCCAGACTCACTCCAGCGCCACAGGTCCGCAAACTTAGCTTCCCATTTACGTGCCTGGAGGCATCCCTCTCTACCATTCAGCTTTACTTGCTTTGCGGGCTGGAAAGCCCACTGTTCTATCTCATGACTCTGCTGCAGCTGTGGCTCTTCTGCCACTCCTCCTGTGTACCAGCTTTCTGTCCCTGGGTCGAGGAGGTTCAGTGTACAGGAACTAATGCACAGGGATCTTGGGGTCCAAGGGACATGCTCTATTCCTGACTTTTCTTCTTTAATGATAGTGAGATCCCCTGAGACAGCTCTTTTGTTATACCTAGGCCAGAGTTTCAAGTCTTTACAATTGCAATGAACTCTGTTAACATCCTTAGCTGAATCATATCATCCTGTCAGTATCTTCTCCCATTTTCTCTTACCCAGACCCATCAGGAAAAGAGTCTTCTGGTGGGAATTACAAAGACTCACAAGTGCTGGTGTGGCACACTCACAAGCACTGGACTCCCAGGGTCGGTTTGAACCACAAGGTCGGTGGTTCAAACCCACCAGTCACTCCTTGGAAACCCTATATAGGGTTGCTATGGGTCAAAACCAACTTGAAGGCACTTAACAACAACAAAGACTAAGGCTAGAAGAAACATATTAAATAATCTACTACACTGCAGATAGTAAAAGAAATTATGTTTAATTAAAACAGAAGGAACTTGTCATATAATCTAAATCCATTTACTAACCCTTTAAATGTAATTTAAGTTAAAAACGGGACTTTGAATAGTTTTTTTCCAGTTCAACCCCATTCTAAGAATTTGCATTCCCACAAGGTATATGACACAAGAACCTACATTTTAACAAGACACCCAAATGATTCTTATGTATACATGAGAATCACCTGAGGGTCTATAAGCATCATTTGTGGATCTTATTAAAATGTAGATTCTTATTTCATCTATCTGGGATGGAAAGGAAAATTCTGAGCACGGGGCCAAACTGGAATGAGCTGGTTTTAAGCCCTGGTTAGAAATATAAAAATTAGTTCTAATTAATATCATCTTTACTGAGAGTGCTGGCCTTGATCAAAATACATGAAGTAGGCCATTTTCCTCATCTACACATTTAGCAACTCTCACTAAATGTAGAACTCTTTAACTTGAAACATGGTATATAAGTTACTTAACTTAGACTTACAACGCATAAAAAACATCAGTCTCATTGATTTCTTAATACAACTTTAGGCAGAAATATTATAACCATTTACAGCTAAGAAACATACTTCAAAGAGGTTAATTGCTATGCCCAAGGTCATACATGTGACACATAGCAAGGTTTGCAATATCTGAATCCAAGTCTGTCTACCTCCAAAGTTCATGTCTCTTTTAAGTTACAGAAAAATGTTTCTTATTTTTAGATAGTTTTCTGGAGTAACGATGCCAAGACAACTAAGCTAAAATGTTTTAAACCAATACAGCAGTAAAGCTAAAAAGACAGAATAAGAAAAGGCAGCATAGTCAGTTTTCTTCAGTCTTGGAAAAATGCATAATCAATTAATCAAGAAATAAAAGCTAACATGATTGCCATTAGGAAAAATGCTCTTGCATCTTAGCACAGGTCAGACTGGTTTTTCTTGTTTTCAGTGTGTGTGTTATGCCTGTTTAATAACCAAAACAGGTGTTTCAACTACAACTAACTCTGTGAAGCCCAGACAAGTAAGGACAAGTGACTGAAAACGTACAAAGACCTATACATTACTACGCTCTAAAATGCCACGATGAATTTAGAAATTTTTAACATGATATTATAGAATCAGTTGTAATGTAGACTATGTATTTCTTTGGTCTATTTACCAATTATACACAGCAGAAGTCAATGACAAGCTTTAAATAACAAGAATATAGCCTATGCACTTACACTGTCTGCAAGTTTGTCATTAAGCAGTTCTTTATTTACAAAACTTAAATAATTTACAAATGTTTAAGAATTTCTTAAATGATCACAGATGACTACACAAAGTTACACAGAAGCTTTTAAATATTTTGATGTTCTAATTAAGGAGCTCTGGTAGCGTAGTGGTTACGAATTGGGCTGCAAACCACAAGGTCAGCAGTTCGAAACTACCAGCTGTTACACGGGAGAAAGATGAGGCTTTCTGTTTCCGTAAAGAGTTATGGCCTCGGAAACCCTGTACAGGGTCGCTATGAGTCGAAACTGACTCCACAGCACATAACAACAATACAGTAATTAAAAACATCCTTTTACCTAGAATCATCAAAAAGCCATTTATTATAAAGTTAACCCTCAATATAATCTCAAAATTTGTTGTTTCAATTAACATTTAAACTTATACCAAATTCCTTTAGCAGAATTCAAGTTAGGAATCAAGCAATTAAAAAGAATTTTTTTACATCGGGAGTTCTGTAATACATACCCCATTCAATTTTTCTATAACTAAAATTACACCTCAGTATTTTTCAAAGGAATCATCACTAGTCTCTTTCCTAGTCCTCCATGGAGAGAGAAAATGCTGGAAATCTTACCTTGTGCTGTTCAATGGCATCTATCCACTGCTGCCTGTGATCTGGATCCTGAGCACGAAGATACCAAACGCTATCATTTACACTAATATCAAATCGACATTCATCAAAATCATGAGGCTGTGGAGACAAGAAGAAAATGAAAAGCAAAGCTAATTATTTCCTAACAAGTGTTATGTTGTTGTTGTTAAGTGCCATCGAGTTGGGTTCGACCCGATGTTATACACTGTAGTGTTATACACTACAGCAAAAACATGAACATAATCATTCAGTGCTGGTGGAAAAGTCTTATTCTCTTCCTTTTCTATTCAGACAACTTTTTAACAAGATGTCTCAAATAAAGCAGATTAAAGATAGTTACTAAAAATCAAGTTTTATTCACTACTCTTGCAAATGAGTTGAAATCAACTACAAACATTCATTTAAAAGAAGAGATTATTTTTAGCAATGCATTGAGTTAGCTTAACTCACTGAAAACACACACACACTCACAAAAGAAAGTAAGTTTTAGGAAAAACATTTAGTACTTTAACCTGACCTAACTGTTCAAAAGTAAATTCTATCATGCACAGTTCTATTTTATTAAATTTAATAAACAAGATTATGTTTATATTTTAACACAGAATAATGCTACTATTTCATCCCAAGTATCAAAAAATGACTTCTTGGCCTTTAAAACATTTCTGATAGTAATAGTTGCCACTGAAAACCAAAACATAAATGATTACTATACAAGACCTATGTTAGAAAGTCCCATACATGTGTTAATTTGTCATACTTTGGTGGCTGTGTGTTGCTGTGAAGCAGTGTTTCAAATACCATCAGGACCACCAATGGTGGAGAGGTTTCTGAGGTTTCTGAGGGTCTTGCAGACTAGGACGAAGGAACAGGCAGTCCACTTCTGAGGGATCAGCCCCCGAAAATCTAATGAATATCAGTGAAACATTGTCTGATATAGTGCCAGAAGATGAGACCGTCAGATTGGAAGGGACTCAAAACAGCAGTGAGGAAGAGCTGACTCCTCAAAAACAGAGTCAACCTTAATGATGTGGATAGAGCAAGGATTTGGGGACTTTTATTTGCCGATAGGCGTGACTCAAAATGAGAAGCAGCAGCTTCCAACATCCACTGAAAATAGGAATATGGAATGTATGAATCTAGGAAAATTGTAAGTCATAAAAAATGAAGTGGAACACACAAAGATTGTTATCTCTGGCATTGTTGTTGTGTGTCAGAAAGTCAGAAACCCTATGTATAGGGTTCCAAAACTGTAAATCTCTTTGGGAGCAGAAAGTCTCATCTTTCTGCCAAAGAGTGGCTGGTGGAATTGAATAGTCAACTTTGTGGTTAGCAGCCCAAAGCATAACCCACTATACCATCAAGGCTGAAGTGGACAGGTTTTGGCCATTTTAATTCAGAAAACCATATGACTTATTAACAACCTGTGACATACAGATAACACAATCTTGTTTGCTGAAACCCAAGAGGACTTGAAGCACTTGCTGAAGAGGATCAAAGAATACAGCCTTCATATGAATATCAACTCCAAGTAAAGAAAACAAAAATCCTCACAACTGGACCAATCAACAATATCGTGATAAATGGAGAAAAGAATGAAATTGTCAAACATTTTAACTTGGAGTCCTGGTATGGTGCTGTGGGTTAATGAATCAGACTGCAAAGTCGTTTGAACTACAAGGTTGGTGGTTCAAGCTCACCAGCTGCTCCTTGGAAACCCTATAACAGGGTCGCTATGGGTCAGAATCGACTTGACAGCACTTAACTACTACAACTCATTAAACTTGTTTCCACACTCAATGCTCATGGAAGCAGCAGTCCAGAAATCAAAGGGCGTATTTGCATAAATCTGTTGCAAAAAGACCTCTGTAAAGTGTTCAAGAGCAAAGATGTCATTTTGAGGATCAAGACATGCCTGACCCAAGTTAGGGTATTTTCATGCTTATAAGCATGTGAAAGGCAGACAATGAATAAAGAAGGCAGGAGAACTGATGCAGTTGAATTATGGTGCTGGAGAAGAATACTGAAAGTAGCAAGGACTGCCAAAAGAACAAACAAATCTGTCTTTGAAGAAATATGGCCACAATTCTTCTTAGAAGTGATGACAGTGAGTCTTCATCTCACATACTTTGGACATGTTGCCAGGAGGGACCAGTCCTTGGAAAAGGACATCAAGGTTGGTAAAGTAAAAGGTCAACGAAAAGGAAGATCCCCAATGAGATGGACTGACACAGTGACTGCAACAAAAGGCTCAAACATTCTAACAATTCTGAGGATCGTACTGGATCAGGCAGTGTTTCATACTGATGTATATAGGGTCTCTATGAGTCAGAACTGACTCTGATTCCCAACAACAACAATGCTAGAAAGCTACAGAAAATAACTGTGCCAAAGTATAATAAGCATCTAATGAAAATGTCAACTTTCTGGTTCAATGTTTTATACTTAACAACAGTATTTTTAAAGTGAATGTTTTATATCTTTGCTTTCCTAAGTATAAAATGCCTTAAAAGAATTAATATAGTGAATATAAATCCAACAAAAATAGTATGAATTCAAATATATGCTATCTCAGCTGACCTTAAGGGATTGGAGCTAAAGTCTGCATTCCCTAATACTGAACACTGAAGAGTTACCTGAGCATTCTGGTTGCTAAAAGACATTCATGCACGTGAGAAGGTAGTGAATTCCTTTTTGGGAAAAAGAAACTCTAAGTCTAGATCTTGTTGTTGTTGTTGTTAAATGCCGTCAAGTTGGTTCCAACCCATAGTGACCCTGTATAGGGTTTCCTAGGAGTAGCTGGTGAGCTTGAACTGCCAACCTTGCGGTTCAAGCCGACTTTGTAGTACAGCACATTAACCCACAGCACCTCACCACACCTCCTAGGTGTCCTAGACCTCACATTATTTGTCGCTTCATTTGTAGCCTTTTTTACTACAAGACAGATGTGATCATAAGAGTACACCACTTCCTTTGAACTGTGAGTCATTCCAGTGAATTCTCAAACTCAAAGGCGTACAGGAAGGAAACAGATCAGAACCGAGGGAGCTGTGAACCCCTGAGCTTATAGCTGGGATCCTGAGGGGGTACGCAGAACCCCTGAGTGTGCAGCTAGCAAAGCAGAAGGCAGGAAGCCCAGAAGGGACTTGATTTTGTGGCTGGTGTCTACCTCTTTGGCATCCTGAAGGATAGTGTCTTTTTAACTTCTGACGTCTGCCCTAACCTGGGTGGCCAGGATCAAGGGAAGAAACGCTGCAGAGTCACGTGGGCTCCAGTGTCCTTTTTCACCTGTGATCTGACAGTGTCTAAGGTCAGGGAGAGAAGTGCTGCATAATGCAGCTGGTGTCAGTGAAGTGGGAAAGTGGAGATCTGATGTATCCTGATTATTATTCTTGTAACTGTATACCTTCTTGTTGTTGTTGTTAAGTGTCATTGAGTGGATTCTGATTCAAAGAGACTGGTCCCTACTGATAACATGTCTGAAGTATGAGAGACAAAGTCTCGCCATCTTTGCCTCCAAGAAATAAATACCTCTTCCAACACAGACCTCTTTGTTCTTCTGGCAGTCCATGGTACTTTGAATATTCTTCTCCAACATCATAATACAAATGCATCAATTCTTCTACAGTCTTCATTATTCACTGCTCAAATTTCACATGCATATGAAGCAACTGAAAATACCATGGCTTGGGTCAGGTGCACTTTAGTCCTCACACAGTGACGTGGCAGTTAAGCTGCAGCTGTCTCCCATTATGTGATTTGATGGGATAAACCAATAAAAGTTTAAAGGTGGGATTATTATTGTTGTTAAGTGCTATCAAGTTGGTTCTGACTCATAGTGACCCTGTATAGAGTTTCTAAAGAGCAATTGGTGGTTTGAACCACTGACTTTGCAGTTCAGTGCTTATCTTACAGCACCACTTCAGGACTCCAAGGTGTTGCAAGGACTGACCCAATTTACAGGAGATTCCCAAGGGTGTGGCATGTGTTCCCCTTTATCTCACAAGAGATAAAAGGAGAGACTCTTCAACAGAGAAAGAGGGACCTATGACCACCAAGAAAGAAGAGCCAGCAGTGGAGTGTATCCTTTGGACTTGGGGTCTCTGCACTGTGAAGCTCCTAGATCAGGGGAAGATTGATGCCAAGATGTATGGAGATCTCCAAAGAATACTGGGTCTAGAGAAGCTAAAAGGAGACAAAGACCTTTCCCCAGAGCCAACAAAGAGAAAGACTTTATCAAGAGTCAGCACTCTGAATTTGGACTTCTAGCCTCCTAAACCAGAGCTCTGGAAACATAATGCTTCCGAGTTAGGCTACTAGCCTCAGGGTCAGCAGTTCAAAACTACCAGCTGTTTCTTGGGAGAAAGATGAGGCTTTCTGCTCCCATAAAGATTATCAGCCTCAAAAACCCTATACAGGGTCACTATGAGTCGGAACTGACTCCAGGGCTCACAACCAATATGCCTCCTAAACTACGAGAGAATCAATTTCTGGTTGTTAAAGCCATCTAACTGTGGTATTTCTGTTAGAGTAGCCATTGGATAACGAAGACACCTGTTGTAATTGTTAGGTGCTGTAGAGTTGGTTCCGACTCAGAGCAACCCTGTGTACAAAAGAACAAAACACCTGAACCATCCTCACAATTGCTGCTATGCTTAAGCCCGTTGTTTGTGCCATTGTGCCAATCCATCTCGTTGAGGGTCTCCCTCTTTTTTGTTGTCCCTTCACTTTGCCAAGCATGATGTCCTTCTCTAGGGAGTGGTCCCTCATGATAACATGTCTCTAAGATACCTGGTAACCACTAATAAACTTTGATCTCTATATTTTTACCTTTTCTTGTCCTTTTACATAAGAGAGATCATACAATATTTGTCCTTCTGTAAATTAATTTATTTCATTCAGCACAATGTCTTCAAAGTCTCATCCATATTACAACATGTAACAAGACTTCATTTCTCCTATAGTCTAAGTAGTACTCTTTCACATGTACGTAGCACATTTTGTTTATCCACATTTGACTATTGTAAATAGTTCTGCCATGAACACTGGTATACAAGTTACATTTTTTGAGGAACCACCAGTTTTCTACAATGGCTGTATCA